TAGGTTTGCACTGTATGTTCATGGATATACCAGGAGGCAGCGGAGGATGCGGTGAGCGCGCTCAGTACGTATGTGCCATTTTCTTGGTGTGAGCTGGATTTGATGCTGTGTGTGTATGTATGTGTGTGTGTGTGTGTGAGAGAGAGTGAGATAGAGATAGAGAGAGTGAGATAGAGAGAGAGAGTGATGCTCAGTGCACACAGAGAGAGAGAGAGAGAGAGATGCTCAGTGCACAGGAGAACCTCAGACACCCCGAGTCCTTGTTTGACTTTTTTAATCACGGAGGCTTTTCTCAGTCAGGAACATGCGCAATTGATTTTGAACACTGAAGGCAAAAAACAAAGGCGTCCAGAGCCGACCGACTGCAGCCATTTCCAAGACAGAAGATGTGTCTCTCTCCGTCCCTGAGACCCTAACTTGTGACGTTGTGTGTTCATGTCCACGGGTTAGGCTCTCGGGAGCTGGGAGGGATGCATGGGCAGCACTGTCTGCAGCACATTCCTGATTCGAACAATGGCGATCAGAGGAGGAAGGCCGTGGCGCAGTACGCTGAGGCGTTCACGCTGCTGTGTGCGTCGTCGCCGCCTCGCACGGTGATGCTGTTTCACCAAGCCTGGACTTCTCTGTGTCCCGTGGCTGCTGCGAGCACATGATGGAATGTGGATTAAATGAAAACCATAGTTGGCGTGGTCTGTGATGGCATCTCAGAGCAGGCAGGAGGGGAAGGAGGAGGTGGAGGTGTGTGTTTCCTCAAGATACCGTGACCTGTTATCTAAAAAGACAGTGACTGCGCAGTTCAATGGAAGCTTCCATCCTTTCACAACAAAGGAGTGTACGGACACTGACCACTGACATGACGCGTCTGTCTCATGTCATATCTCAAAATTGAACACGTAGTCGGCAGTTGGTTTTGTTGAGCACAAAAATGATGCTGGCTGTCTAAAGAACACAAGGTGCAGCCAAGGCTTAGTTGGACTACGGTGAACTTTGACATTAATAAAAGACGTGTGGATCAAAGTGAAGTCTTCAACCTAGAAGACAAGTTTAAAGTCTCTTTGACTTCAGCATCATCTTTCACTATGTAGCATTTCGCTTAAAAAGAAAAAAAAGAAACTCAATTATTTATTGGACGGGCATCATGTGGGAATGCTAACTGTACCTGAATGGCCGTTAGCTGGTTTAAAAGCAGCTGATTAGCATGAGTGGCGTTAGAGCGGAGTTGATGGCATTACCTCTTCACACACCAGTGAACACAGAAGCATCTGGTGGTGTGATGTTCTACCGCAGCCTACGTGTGTGTGTACGTGTGTTCACGTGCACCAACATGGCTTGAGAGCAGCACAGTGTAATGTTGAGCGTAACGATGACAGCTCTGTACATTATGTGCTTGACCTCAGCGAACCCTCAGCAGTGTTAATGCTCACTCACTCATGCTAACACAAACGCCACTGGAGTCCAGTGGGGAAAAAAAAAAACCTGCAACGGCTCCGTGTGGTCGCAGCCTCCGATTCTGTGCTACGATGAAGCTACGTCGAGTGCTACGCGATCGCTCGGTCATGGGCAGTAACGAGGAAGAGCACTAACCAAATTTGCTACAAAATGAAAGACATGACCAGAATTCAGAGCGGGTCCTTGTCTCTGGGGCAGGCGTCCATGATGGATCGGGCCTTGGGGATCTTGGCTCATGCTACTCAGTGGTGAACTGTGAGTTTGCTTTGTCATCACTGGTACAGGATGTAGTTTGGTACAGACAGGCCTTCAGGTCTCTGCTGGTAACTTTACCATCAGCATCACTGACGGCAGGATTCAGCAGTGATTATGGTTTACTTTAAGTCTTAACACAAGGTCATATTTGACGTGTGTCACATTGTTCAAAATCAAGTTGGAATTTTTTTTTTTATCTGCTTTTATGTTGGAGGTTTAACTGTTGCATGACTGCGTTTTCATGACTGAAGTGGACTTATATTATATACTATTACGTCAGTTTAATGAATAATTACATATATATTATATATTATTACTTCAGTTTAATGAATAATTACATATATATTATATATATATATTATTACTATAGTTTAATGAATAATTACATATCAGTTTAGTTTGAGTATTATTAATAAAATAATGTGACTTGGTCACTCTGTGGTGAGACGTGTTTGTCTGAGCTCTGGAGGTTGTCTGATCCGGATGTTTCCCCAGTATTATCTCTTAACATCCCTGAGAAACAGACTTCAGCTTCCACCACCTCATCTGCCTTTTCTACTGTCTCCCCATGAACTCAAATTCTGGTCTTCGCTCCATCGATCTTTTTCTTTTCTTCATCTTAATTCCCCCCCCCTCCCCTGCCCCCTTCTCTAAACGCTAACCTGGAGCAACTCAGCATGTAGCCCGTGAGCTCGACAAGCGGCTGCAGACCTGCTCTCCTTTGTTCACTGTCTGTACACTGTGTCCCCATGGCTGAGGCAGACATGGAGGACAGGCAGACGGGGGAAGTATTGAACGGGGAGAGAGGGAGAGGAGAGGGAGAGGGAGGAGAGAGAGGACTGGTGCTGATTTAATAGTTTTTGTACTAAGGGGATATTGGTCTTTACAGCGTCTTGATCTGCTACAGATGATTCCGTGTGCATCTGGAGAAATCTCTGAGCATGATTCCATCTACGTCCTCATGCATATTTAACTAACACACTGTTTTTTATTTGGGTTGTTTTTTTTTCAAAGATCTGTCTTTCATTTGGTGCAGATTCTTTCAATGCTGCAAAGTTTTTTCACGCTGTGTCCAGTGAAAGCCTATTATATTTGCTCTTGTGCCTTTAAATATTGGCCCGTCGTGTATTGGCTTAATCCAAACACTCGCAGGCGGCGTTTGATTGGATGATCCCTTTGTTCAGGTGCGCAGAGTTCATTTGTATGCGCAGTGTTTTGGAGGAAAAATAGAATAGTGGTGTATTTGGCATAAGGTGTTGTCGGGTTTCTGCCAGAACGTTTATGTTGCAGGGTTGGAGGAATTTGGTCGATTTGGTTCAGAGTCCAGGGTGAATTATTAATCATGTGGATCAATGAATAGATTCTGAGAAGAGTTGGAGGGAGGTGACAGAGAGACAGACAGAGAGACAGAGAGAGACAGACAGATCAGCCCTGGTTTGTCTTTGTGGCTCGTTTCACAAACCCATTCTGCAGTTTTTCGTCGGTGCCACTCCCTTCAATGGAAAGCCTGCTCTCAGTTGCAGGCGGGAGAAACACTTGCATCAGTAATCAGAGCAGGTCATGGTGTGTGTGTGTGTGTTCACGTGTGTGTGTGTTCTCCACTGTAGCTGCGTTATTAGCACTGCAGAAGGGTACGCTACCTTTTCCTACCAGTCTGAGGCTACCTTAATGGAGATGGTGATGCAGCAGCAGCGCCCCCTGTGCACCCCCCCCCTCCCGCTCTGGCTCATGGCCACTACCTATGGCCGAGGAGCGCCGAGGCGGTCATTTTTGGAATAGCACACATGTGGCCTATTTACTTTCCACATAGCTGAAATTGCTGAGGCATTTCTTAGTACTGTAGCTTGGCCGACTTCACCAGATTTAGAATTTGGGGCAGATCCAGCACTTTCATCATTTTTACTTTTTTTTTTTTTTTTGGGAAATTTAGTCGGTGTATCAGCTGCCAAACTGTATGCTGTTTTGTCTGTAGTCTGAGCGATTCTAAATGTGCCGGCGGGCTGGAGGAGTGCGAGTGTGTGTGTGTGTGTGAGAGAGAGAGTGTGTGTGTGTGTGTGTTTTAGTCTGGATAAAGCCAGTTTAAAGGAGCTTTTGCTCAGGCAAATCACAGCAGCAGATTAACCAGACTACACATAACCTCATTAATTTGACGGAGACTAATGTCACCGACAGTGTGTCAGTAGGCACATGCACACACATGCACATGCACACACACGTATACAAAGGCACTTCTTTGTCTTTATGGAACAGAGAGCAGGTATTGATGACCGGAGGCCGAGGCAGAGTCTGTCCGTCCTTCTCCCCCAGCGGGCCTCACTATCACTGTTGTCAAGACAGACTGGAAATTCCCATGAATCAACATTAACACTTTGCTGCCACGTCTTGTGCTCGCTGCACCTTGGACATTTCAGAGACACAGTTTGACCTGTTGTATTCTTTGTGTGGACGCAGTACGACTTTACAGAATGTTTGTTTCTGGTCATTTGCTCGGTTTCTTGAACTGAAATGGAAAGTTTCTTCTTTTTTTTTTCTTTTCTTTTTTTTTTTTTTAAAGACTCACACCCTTCCTTCAACAAAGCCAGGAGTTTTTGTGGAACTTTTTATGTTAAAGTCGGGAGAAAACAATTTGAGCACATGGTTTAGTAGGAAAATAGTCAAAGAGAAAGATGTCAAAATGAAATAAATGTAATAAAGTAGTTTGTAAATGACAAATGATTTTAAGATTCATTTTTGTCCTTTTTTTACATCTAAAGTAAAACCTAATATATAAGAGAATATATAGTATTATATATATATTATATATAACCCTAACCCTAACCCAACTTTTTCAAAAAGTGTGACTTTAATTTGACTTTAAAACCTAATATATAAGAGAATATATAGAATTCATTGGACAACTTTTTCAAAAAGTGTGACATTTTAATCCATCTTCAACTGAATCAAACACTGACTTTGAAACAATGACGTCAGAGATACTCTTTGAGCAAAAAGCAAAAGTACACATTATGACATTTAATACAAGTTACAGTTAACTATTATATTTGGATTTGCATACATTTTAAAATATATTATGAACACATTGATAAATGCTATGTAATGTATTCATATTTATTTTCTTTCTAATGTGATTTCATGTCTTCATGTTTTCTTTTAAATTTGTCTCAAAGATTTATTATTATCACTAAAGAACTGTATATTTATATATTTGTACTGTTTTTTTTACAGTTTGACTTGTTTTGTGTTCAATCCTTCTTCTTACACTAACCTTTAGTTTTTCTATTTCGTAAAAATAACTACTTTATTTACAGTAGGTAAAGCACTTTGATCTGCTCTACAGGGCGTTTCATTTTTCATTTTTATTTTTGTCACGTCAGAAGGAAATTGTATGTTTGTATGTAGGAAAAGGTTTCAATTTTTTTTAGGAGTTTTTACTAGTTAAATAAGTTACTAAGTTAAATAAGTCACTTATACTGTTATATCTCAGCTTTGTCTTCGATGTTTACTCAGATTTCTCTGTGCTGAACTTCATTTGTCACATTTTTTGATCAGGTTTAGATATCTGTCAAATTCAAATAAATCTGTCTGTCTTTCAGAGTCTTTCAGAGTCTGTCTGTATTCTTAAGTCATTCTAACATGACATTTATCACGTCAAAGAAAAGTCAGTGGATTTTATGAGAGATCTGTGTAAAAGAAATAACTTTACGTCAGTTTGATGTACAGAAGTTTTTACAGAACGTCAAACATACCCAGTGTGACTGACAATAACAAGATTTTTTTTTTAAATAAACCATCAACCACAGCAGTGCGTGTGCTTTATTCTTTACAAGACGACGGATGCTGACACAGTTTGCTGACGTTTCCTGATGAAGACGGCAGTGATGAGCGAGCTGAACACTGACTGCAGTGCAGTGCAGTGCGAGACAGAGACGTCTTAGAGTCGGCTCTAAATAAAGTCCTGCTGCTGCTGTCATTTCACGTGATTATCACTTCTCTCCACAGTTGTGCTTATTAATAGAGGCTGGAAATGAATGGTGAGATTTTCTCGTCTGACATGTTTTGCATTTCATCTTTGGAGGCATCTTTTGTGCCTCTGTAAAAGGCTTGAATCTGTTTCAACAAGATTAATTCCTTGGCATCATGTGTGTTTCTGCCGAGCTGCCAAGACGTATTACAACCTCTGCTCTGTTGACTCTATGCATGGAACGGTAAATGGCTGCAAACGCAGAAAAGAAAAGCAAAGAGAAAACAGAAGACTCCACAATAATGTGCTTTTACTGCATTATTCATTTGTGCCATTACAGATGAGCCTAAATAAAAAGTAATGTCACTGACGTAGGATATTCAAGTATCCATTAGTGTCTGCTCCCATCTACAAACGTTAACACCTCATAGATATTTCCACGCGTTGACCCAGGGTCCAAAGTGCTGCCTTCAAGTCCGTCACCGTCAGTGTCTGAGGTTTGACCCTGTTCCTGCTGCTGCAGCTCTGTCTGTCTTTTTCTCACTTACAGCTCATTAAAACAGGTCTGGACATGTCCGAGTGGACTGACAACATGAGACGGACGTTGCACACCGACGCCAACTGTCATCTGGCCATGCATGCACACACACACACACACACACACATACACACATTTTCATGACCTGGATTTACATCTGTGCTGATGTGTGAGCGTGACATTTGACACCTGAAGCTAAAGGTGAATGATTTTATACATGTCTTCATCACAGTAACATATTTGTTGTACAACGATGATGAAATCTTATCAATAAAAGGTGTGTTTTTTCCCCTACATGTCCCTGTTTTATTTCAAGAAATGAAAAACTACACGTTTCTTATTTATTAATCAACAGATTTAAAGAGTCTGATTTTGCAATTTTCATTTTCCACAGTATGAAAATTACCACTGATTTTTTTGCTTAAGTGTTTCCAACATGTTGTTTTTCATTATGTATAACTGAGCTCCATGCTAACACTTAACTATTCCACAGTATAAGGCTGAGTTAGATGCTAACGCTGAAGCACATGCTGTAGCATTTGGGAGCACGTCGTTAGAGCCACTCCCTGCAGTGATTATTGGTTACTGGTGTTTTGGCTTTAACCATTTTCACAGCAACTTTTTTTGCTCGGAGGAAAAGGTGACTAAAAAAGAGCTTTGACGGAGCGTGTTACTCCGGGATGACCCCACACATCCACGACTGTGATGGATGGAGGCAGAGAAGCACAACAAGGATTAAAGGTGCCTGCTGGTCGCTCCCTTAAAATGAAAAATGCGTCTGTGGATCCAGATGTTGTTAACAGCTCCTCCACAGCTGTCCGTCCTGACTGTAAGGAGTGCTGTCAACAGTCCAGCAGGAGCGACCCTCCACAGGCGTCGGTGTCAGCCGGCTGCTCTGCAGGTGAGCTGGACCGACGCTGAACAACAGGCCCGGCTCTCATATATGTCAGATCACGTTTCAGTGTTTTATGATGAAGGGTTCAAATCAAGTCAACACACGACGGGAGGAAAAGTGTTTGGTCCAACAGGAAGTGACTAACAGATGAAGGGAATTTGAACTTAGGTTTTCTACTTCAATTTAAAAAATATATTCAATAAATACTTTACATTTATATCAATCCAGGGTGTGTCACTCTGCAGTGTTGTTATAATCTGATTTAAAGATAATCTGATCAAAGGAAACGAAATATGATTTTTTTTAAACTCAAACTTTTCTAAATACATTTTTCACAACTGATCCATCCAATTTTTTTCTAATTCTTCTTTTTTTATGGTGATTCACTTTTCATTCTGGACATAATTAAACCTCAACTGGTGTTTTCTAATTTTACTTGTGAAGGTGTTTTACAAGTTTTATTTACTGGTGAATATTTTCAGAAAAACTATAATTTAGTTCTGTTTCTTGAGTCAATCTTTTAAATTTATATTAATCAAATGCTGCAGAATTATGTAAAGGAAAATAAGACGATTGTTTCATACAATTAAAAGAAAAATGACAAGAAACACAAAGAGAAAGAAACAAAAAAGACGATTGTTTCATACAATTAAAAGATAAATGACACAAATTTGAGGAAGAAAGAAAAACAAAGAGAAAGAAAGAAACCAATAAAGACAAGAACAATGAAACTGAGGAGAGTGAGATGAGGAAAAACAGTTAGAAAATAATGACAAAAGACAACAAAAAAACATGAGAGGAAGAAGGAAAAGAGTCAAACAAAGGAAGAAAAAGAAAAGGAAAAAATTAGGGTTAGAGTTGGGGATTAGTAGAAAAAGAAAATGTATTAGAAAAAGAAGGAGTTGAAAGTAGAAGTAGATGAATTTGTATTTTCTGAATCTACTAAATGGAATAATCTTTCACATCATCTTTAGCCTTATTTTATTATAGCAGCAGTAGTAGTAATCTTTCTGGTAAAATAATTTTAAAAAATCAGATAAATGTAGTTCTATATAAACCTCTGTATTGGCAAGAATCTGGCGATACAATACGTATCACGATACGGGGCAACGATACATTGTATTGCGATATAATGAGATATTGTAGGCACGACGATATATTGAGGGTTTTTTTTTTAAACAATTTAATTGTCAGCAGAGTAAATCCTGTTCCAACTGAACATCAGGTTACTAGAACTGGAACGTTTATAATCACTAGAGAAGAAATAAAAGCAGGATTTTTTGGATAAACAAATAAGAAAATAAGATTGGTTGACTCATGTGATGAAATACTTGCAAATGTATATGTAGTCCCAGTACTATCAACTAGTGGTCGGAGGTTTAAGTGCAACACAAAAATGAACCAACAGCATGAATATTTGCGAGTTAATTGATATTTAAAAATAAAAATCCATGCAGTGCTGTAGAATATGGATAGAATATCACGAAAACGAAATATCACAATATTTCAGTGTATTAATATTTTCTTACATCCTTAATAAAGAAATATAATTAAAAGAAACAAATGTATAATATGCAAAATGTAAAAATGAAAAACCTACAATTTCAAACCAGCTGGATCTGATAATGACGTTTAAATGAGGCACTAATTATTATAGGAAATCTATTTTCTTCTGTGTAATACAAAACAAATGACTGTAATTATCATCATTAAATATTCTTAAAACTAATCTTATTTCTTAGACTTTTCCTAGATTTAAAACAACGGCTGATTTCTCTTTAGTTGTAATAACAAATTAATGCTAACAATTATGAATCTGAAAATAACATGGCTGTTTATTTTGGTGTTTAGTTTGTTGTTTCAGATAATTTTATAATGGATTATAAAAAACCGAATCCCTCTCTGTCTCTCTCTCTCTGTCTCTCTCTCTCAAATTTGGTGACTATTCTCGTATTAATAAAATCTTCTAGGAAGATTCTTTTTAAAGGTACATGACAACAAATATCTTGAGTTTTTTTCTTTAACTCTCTACTATAACAAACGTTTCCAAAGATACGAAGCAGGGTTTCTATCCGCCGTCAGATACTAAATTGACACATTCTGGAATAAGCTGCTGTGCATTTGTCACCGTTTCTTCACACTTGAGTTTCCCGGCCGTCTCACCTCGACATGACTTCATTAACAGTCATCACCGAGGAACACTGGGACGATAAGAGCCAAAGAATGTACAGCTTTGAACGGAGCAGGGGTTTTTTGGGGGGTTTTTCCCTCTTTTGTATATTGATATTTTCTATGGGCCGTACATCTGACTGTGGATGTCAAATATTTGCTTTCGGGGGGTTTAAATTTCAGTAGGTTTCACAGTGGAACACAGACAGATCCACTTGAACAAATTGGGATCATATTAAAATGTCATCGGTGAGTGTTGGAATGAAGACGTTCTGACAGCATAAAGCTGAATCTCTCACTCCCTCTATCCCTCCATTTCTAGCTGGCGCTGCCTGTAAATCCATGCTGAAATTTGGCTCACACTCTCTGGAGCACTCTGCTGCTAAAAGTAGGCCAAAAGGCATTTGAGGACAGCAGTCTGACAGACAGAGAGGGAGGGAG